ACCTCTTTGTGCATCAGAATGACTGTATCTTTATTGTCAGGCGGCACGGGTTCGCATAGTCACAATAAAAAAAAAAAAAACAAGCAAAGAAAAACTTGGAAGATGTCACCGGCCATCACCGCGAGAAGGTTGGCTACTGCGGGCCAATCAACTGGTCAAGCCACCGGTCTTTATGTAACAAATGCCCGCCGTAGTGAACTTTCCTCAACTGTCAAGCCAATGGTCAATTCGTCCTCATCATTACTGTCAGTCTGCTCTTCTCTTGTTCTCGTCATGTCCTCGACTTTCGATTTTTCCTTAATGCCGGATGACTCTTCGATTATCAACTGGGGAGACTTTGCTTCACCCTCTATCATTATATCGTACATTTTCGCGTACCAATGGTCCCTCAACATTTTCTGCCACCTCTTTGCTGACCTCTCACTGGTCAATGGCAACAACGGTTCGCTTGCCACCTCTCTGCAGTGCTGTTCGTCTTTATTTTCCATCCTTGGACCGATGACCGGTTCCGTACCCACATATGAGCACTTCGCGCCGCCACCGCACGTGTTACTTTTATGTGACTCTGTCATCCTCGCTCGACTTCTCTTACCTGCACCCTGTTATTCAGTGTTCTGTGTCGCTCCTTCCCGAATGTTGCGCGACGTCGTAAGTTTCTGTTTCTGTTCACATGTGTCGGTCAAAATGGAATGACACAGACGATTTGTTAATTTTTTTAACAACTTGAAATCATTTTTATAAGATATTTCGGAGAGAGAAAGAGAGAGAGAGAGAGAGAGAGAGAGAGAGAGAGAGAGAGAGAGAAAAAAAAAAACTGTCTCGTGGGTATATATATATATGTATATATATATATATATTAGCAAACATAGAAACTTTGCATTTGTTTCTTCTACAATATGTACTTGTTCAAATAAAAACAGTCCTCATGCTGTTTTGCATGCTGCTTCGATCCCTATTGTGGTTTAGAGAAGCGCGGAACAATGTGAACTATGTTTATAATAGAGTCGGTCGAAACGACGATACTGTGTTGATGTCCATTCAACTTCTCCCATTTCAATTTCTTGCAAGCTGTCATGTGTTGCCGTTCCCTGTCGACCTCTTTATACCATTGCACAAATCCGCAGTTGTGTTCCATATTACCGTTGTACGCGGCTGCGTCCACAACAAAAAACATGGCTAGTGATGCAAGCCATGTGCATTCGCTGTCTGCTCTAATTGCGACGTCACTGTGCATTGGTCTCCCATGAAAATGTGGCGACGCTCTTGCAGTTTGAACAAGTGTGCCCCTGTTTGTTCCGTCCTGTACGCAGGCGATGGCCAGGTGTGTCCGTGTGTGTATAAGTAGGTCGTCAGAAGGAGGTTTACAACCATTCTCCACCATGTATGTCATAAGCGTAGCTCGAAAATCGCGTCTGCAAGAAAGCTCTTTGAGTATCTTACACGCATGGTTGTCAATGCCTTCTCCCTCGCGTATGTACTCGTCATTGATGTCGAACCATCGTAGTTGCAGCATTGCCATATCGCTTAGTACGAGGGTGTTCATTCCGGTGGCCATACAGTCTGTCACGGACGACCAGTTCTCAACCGTTCTCTTCCTCCGTTTCCTCACGATCCCGATCTCTTCGCGCAACGTCAATGACCGGCGTACATGGTTTACCATCTGGGTTGAAGCTTTCCGGTTGTTTGATGACAGGTATGGTTGTTTGCAGAATTTCCTGTGGTGATGCTCCCAAACATCTGTCGCGAAGGTGTCGGGGACACCGGATCGCTCAATACACATTGTCAGATGCATGAGATCGTGCAACTTGGGGAGTTTCCATGTTGATGGTTGATATTTTTCTAATTTTGCTTTGATGGTCGTTACGAAGTCCGTGAACAAAGTGTCGCATTCATCGAGCGAAGCACGAGTGTGTGTTGTACACCGAAACACTCGTATGTACATTTCCATCAATTTCACAAAACAAACGGTAATGTCCTTGTCTGTCGAGTGCGGGATAATATTAGAAATAAGGAACACGTACACTATCATCACAGACCGGTTTTGTTTCGCCTCGAACCGTACCTCCCTCGAAAAAAAGTCGCCGCCAGTGGCCACCCGCAGCACAAGTTAGGGGTATGTTCCCGTGCATCTCTCACTAACGCTTTGCGACCTTGCATCTAGTTCCTTCAGGATCTCTGTTTGCAGTAAGTGCGGCAACTTCTCAAAGGCTGCGGTCCTGAATGCGCCAATCATGTGCAGGAATATGTCGTGCTCGATTGTGTGCATACGGTCTGGTTGCAATGCCAGGTGGTAGTCTATCTGAGGATCGTCACCATTGGGGCCCCTTTAGAACCCCCAAAGGTCGTTCTGTTGAACATGCCTATGCATGTTCAACTCTGACATTCGTGCTTCCGCTGCACGACAAAGGTCAATGTCGGCGGCGGTGAACACATTTGTTGTGAGGTGTGTTTCCAACGTCTGTGATCTCCTGCAGTCTGTGAAATCGGCTATAACATCAAAATCGTTTTTGGACACGGTGCATGTCGGACATACACCAAACTTCACAGTTGCAATCGCACATCGTTCTGGGTAGTCCTGGATATAGTTGAGGAGGAAAGGGTGGACAGTTATGTCCCCGAATCGCGTCGTCGGTATCATTATTCCGTCATAAGATGCCTCCTTCGCAGACTGCAACACCACTAAAAGGGCTTTGTGCAAAATGATGGTCTTTCGCTTTCTGAATGCGGTGGACTGCAAACCCCATCCTTTGTCACGTAAACGATGATGAAGCACAGGAAGATAGGCCAACAGTGTGGCTTCGGATGCATGGTCGACTAGTGACATCATCAGAGGGTACGCCGTCTGTTTTTGACGACCGTCTGTATGTGTCTTGTCGGAATACAATGAAAGAGGGATAACATAACGTGGATTACTATTCCTGTCCACACCTTTGTCCGCTCAAATGATCGACTGGATGTGATAACTTAGCGCCCCGCTGCGTGGGCCAGATATACTTAGGTGTTGTGACGGCGGAGACACTTCTAGAGAAGACACCGTCTCACATTTCTGTAACGCGATATGAAAAATCGACAGAAATGTCGTTCGCCAGTCGCGGTGCCACAAGATGGCGTGCGCATCTCGTGGCCAATCGTCACAACGTAGATCCAACTCTTTCCATCCAGCAGCCTCTGCTAGACTCCCTGCCCATGTCAAACACTCTCAACTATTACGATACTCGATGTCTCTCGTGTTGAATCTCGGGTCTGTGAGAAGTGACAAGAGAGCATCTATATCGCTCTGCGACTTACCGACGCCGCCCCTGGCAGAGAAAACAGTGCCGCCAGCTTGCGAGAGCTATCAAAAGACTAGACAGGCTGCGGTTGCTGCTCTTCGAATGTCCTGCCCTCCCCGTCTACATTCTCGGGGGCCCCGACGTCCTCGCTCTCATCGCTCACGAGATTCACTGCACCTATACTTGATAGTCTGGAGTTATCGACCACACCCATCTCCTGCCCATGTGTTTTTTCGTCCACCACGACCGGGCATGCCCTCGCATGATGTGCGTTCAAAGTTCGTAATGACATGAAAGACCTGCCACAGTCGCACACCCGTGGACCGCTGTCCATTTTCTGTGCACGCAATGCATTCCAAAAACAAACAGAGCGGTGTAGCCAGTGTTTTTATTAGCATTTTGTACATTGGTTCAGGTCGTTTGAATTATAAGCTGCAGAGCATATTTTGTTATATTGTGCAAGTGTCGCACATCCTCTTCTCTGTGAGAAAGAGATAGAGATGGAGTACTAATTGCCGTTTTTAGTACGAATGGTCTGTGTCGCTGATCCCAATTGACAAAGATTAGTAGTCAACCGTGCGACACGATAATTTATATGTCATGACAGGTTCTATGGTCGTGTAGGAAGAGGCAACGACTTACGCATGGTACACGATATATGACACAGCATTCATCACCACGTTTGTGCGGCTGCCCAAGTTCGCAACTATCCATCCACGACGTTTGTGAATGTGGTATGTGTTTTTCATGTCCGCGTGAAAATGATTGCACCTCGGCACCTCAGCCGACCTCCGCAACCACTTCCAAAATATTTCACAACCTAGTACATTTGAATTTAAATTACAGAGAATGCAAAAAAAAACACAACATACACACATTGGTCATCACAGGGGGTCTGATATGTCCCACGTACTAAAAAAAGCAACAAATTATGACATACATCGTAACAATCATCAAATGATTGAAATATTGTTTAATCCTGTGTCTGCACGTTTTAGTGAACCTCATGTACTTGGAGAGGCAAACAACATGCAACATTAAATGTAACCCGCGGATGGGAAGGTTCTAATATAACTACAACTCGACATATGTGAGTGAGAGAGAGAGAGAGAGAGAGAGAGAGAGAGAGGTTCACTAGTGCGGGCCAAAATGACAACAGACAGCACCGGTGGACACTGATATGGCACGCAATAGTGAACCCGACCGTCGTTGAAATTGAGGCAGACATAGAGGGATGTACATGTTGAGGGATGTACAAGCTGAGTTTCCCATGCGTATCAAAACGTATGTGCACTGGTTGTTTGTAGTACCACTCTATTGCTCTATACTATGCATGTCTGTCATCATCCCTGATGTCTAACATGGTCTGTCGTGGTGTGTGGGTGTGTCTCCGGTCGCTGTCGTGGTCGAACACTAAGTATTGCGTCTCCTGTTAACAAGCCAGGGTGCAATGTCTCTCCCCAAGCTGTCGCCATTGCACCGTGTATGAGGCAACTCAGGTTGACTCCCCATGTCAGTGATGTTGCTAGCACAGCCTCTCTATTGACAAGAACAGACCATCCCTTGCCAATACGTGACTACTTTTTCCCCTTGTTGCATGATTTCATTATGCTGGTCACTGCGGCATACTGTAGTGCGCCATCTGGTATTGCCCCCTTCATCACAACACGCAACACTTTGTGCGGATCGGGAAAAGCACGTGCCAACCTCAGAATTGCATGTGCTCACCCTTTTATCACTTGTCCACCCGCCGCCTTCAAATCATAGTATACATCATGTTCCTCGTCTTCCTCGTCGCTGCTAACATCGCTGCCGCTCACTTCCACGTCAGAAGATGATGCCCCCTCATCCTCTTCTTCATCTTCTTCTTCTGCACGGTCTGTGTACTCTGCACAACAACTTGGCAAATCGGCCTCTTCAAATCCACGATCACACAGTTCTTTCTCCATTGTGAAAGCATTGAAGATATTGAAACACACTAGCTCCTCTCTCGTTGCTGTCTGCATGGGAGACACATCGACTGCCATACTGGTTATTGATTCTTCTGTTGCTGATGTCTGTCCGTTGACTGGAATAATTGCAAAATTTGTTTATGTGGCCATCACCTTCCACCCCTCTGCTCTTTCTCTTTGTCTCTCAACATCGCAACTTGCAAGACCGAGCCGCTCCAAAGCAGCTGATAATAACTCCCCCCACAACGGTCTGCCAGATATAATGTTGTCTTCTGTTCTTGCTGGCACAAATTCTATCAGATCTTGACTCTGCAGTGCAAACTTTGTGACTTCGTGCAACGCCTCATGGATGACGTTCCTGTCGTCGACACTCTTTTTCATGAAGTCCAGAAGTTGATCCAGCATAATATATTCCACACAATCTACAACAATGACAGAAACATCTTGAAAGTTTTCTGACGGTGTTTGTGTAATGTCCTTCATTCTGGACAACACCAAGATTTCTGCAGCACCACTCTTCAACTCGTCCTTCGACCCATCAACCAGCATTCCCCCATTCCGTGCCACAGTGCCCAGTAACTTGCCCAAGTTCGTTGGTGTATATGTCCCCCCTTTCTGCTGCATTGTCATGTCCATGTCTCCTTCTTCGCACATCTCTTCGCTGCACATCCACTGGACCACTCCTTTTAGACTGTATGCACTGTCTTCCACATCGCTGTCCCCACGTACATGTGGTGACTCTCAGAAGCGTTGCAAGAGTGTTCGTGCTTTGACACAGCCCTCGCCGTTTGCCATGATCGTGGATCTCATATCCACAGTGACTATGAAGTACCTCGACACCCTGTCCTGAAGCAAAGACAACTCGCTGTCACCATTGTAGTGGACGCCCTCCTTTGCATACTCCATTACCTCTGCAAGAGCAGCCTCCACCTGTGCTACTGACATTGACATGATGCGTACGGTTTGTCTTTCGTCCTCTTCTCTCTGCCAGTGGAAACGCACAATGATGTCATCGACATGTGTGTGTATGTGTGTGTGTGTGTGTGTGTGTGTGGCGTCTATGTATGAACCTATGTGGATGTCTGTGTGTCTTTGTGTATATGTCTATGGATGTGTGTGTATGAATGGTCTGTGCGTGTGTCTTTGTGTCTGTTCCCAAGTTGGCTACTGCGTGTCATTCGAAGTCGCAACGGTCATCATTCGTCAGTTTCTGGCACGCAGTAGCCAACTTTAAGGGTGCATGCCAGAATGTGTGTGTGTGTGTGTGTGTGTGTGTGGCGTCTATGTATGAACCTATGTGGATGTCTGTGTGTCTTTGTGTATATGTCTATCGATGTGTGTCTATGAATGGTCTGTGCGTGTGTCTGCGTGTCTGTTCCCAAGTTGGCTACTGCGTGCCATTCGAAGTCACTACGGTAATCATTCGTCAGTTTCTGGCACGCAGTAGCCAACTTTAAGGGTGCATGCCAGAATGTGTGTGTGTGTGTGTGTGTATGTGTGTGTCTTTCTGTATATGTCTGTGTGTGTGTGTGTGTGTGTATTTGTTATGCGTGTTTGCTTGTGCATGTGTTAGCGTGTCCGACTTCAGGTTGGCTACTGTGTGCCATTTGAAGTCACAACGGACCTGTGTGGTCTATGTATGGCAGGCAGTAGCCAACTTGAACGATGCACGCCAGAATGTGTGTATGTGTCGGTGTGTCTGTGTGTGTAATACTCTTCACCCACAACAACCCTTGTTCGAACCAGACGAGTACATACATAGGAGAGAAATATGTAAATGACAAACGGTATGACTAGCAAAGGGCAGGAGGGAGAAGGGGGGCGAGGTACGTACGTCGTTACGGTAGAAAAGAAAGAACGAGAAAGAAAGAGAAAGAAAGAAAGAGAAAGAAAGAAACAGACAGACAGACAGACAGACAAACACACAGGCAGACAGACAGACAAACATACAGACAGACAGACGGACAGACACATACACACACACACACACACACACACACACACACACACACACATACACACACACACACACACACACACACATACACACACACACACAGAGACGTCATTGAACTTACAGA